GAACACTGACGGCGAAGGGGAGAACAGGAGGGCATGCAGAGGTTGGAGATCACAACAAGGATAAAAACCACCTTTAAGAGGAGAGATGAAAATGTGAAGACATGATGGAGGTGGGCAGAGAATATGAAATGTTGGGGAAAAAACGGAAATAAGTTTCGAGATATCTAGTGGATGACAGCAGTAAAGGTAAAGGTCAATGGAATTAAGAATGCTGATTCCCAGCAAACTCACAAAAGCCATCAGGAAAGACAGAGAAGATACAGATGAGCCCTGAAATTCACTGGGATGGCAGGAAAGAAATCTGGAAATTGGAGGCCAACCGATGGAAATAGGACACAATGATTTGACACTGGCCAAATGGTTAAAATTAATTAGCAAAATATCAGTGGGAAGAGTACAATGGAGAAAACTAGAGAACCAATGAAGCATGGGGTGACAGGGTGACGGTCAGCAGTGGGGTAAACATTCTATAAAGAGATGTATGTAACTCAATATTTCCTAAGGAGGTTCCAATGAAGTTGTTGAAGACAGGGTAGAACGTAATCCTGTTCCAGGGATCCATCATAAGAGGCCATAATCACACTATGACTGACAGCACATGTACCTCCCTTTCTGTACTAGGCATAGGTTCGTGACACACTGCAAACTACAGACAGTTCAAACAAAAGGACTGCATACAGTGAGCATTTACAAGCCTATGTAATTGCATAATAATTCATACATATGCATATAAGAATGTGAGTTATTAAAGATGGACAGAGAACACCAAAAGTGACTGAGAGAGGGTCATGAGAACAGCAAAAGCCAGTGATCCCTGGGATAAGCATACCAGTTATCTTGATAATTTAACTCCTGCCAGTTAAAAGGTAAAGGCTACAGATAGGGAGATAGAGGAAAACAAAAGGAAGCAGCCAGTTAGCTGAGAAGTGAAACCAAAACCAGTTTACAGAAGGCTGCATGACTTCTGAAATACACAAGGCCTTTCTGAGTCTTCCCAAACACAGAAACACAAATAACTTGCCCAGGATTCCATAGACTTCTCATAGGCCAGACTGTAGACAGACACACACAGGTGTCATCATGAGATGAAATCAGGTCACAGAAAGACCACTGAAAATATCTGACTTGAAGAAAGGAGAAAGGAGAAAGGGAAGGAGGGAAGGAGGGGAGGAGGGAGGGAGAGGGAAGGAGAAAGGAAAGATGAAGATGCCAAAGACATCAGACTCCTACCTCCCTATCTTTACATATCTTCTTATGCAAGAGACTGACCTGCCTTGCACATGGGCAACAAAAACATGGGCAGCAGAAAATGAATGTGTGTGTGACCCATAATGAGTGGGAATAATATTTTAAAAAGGGAACAGACTTTCAGTGGCCAGGTAACACTGAGTGGCCACGTCAATTACATTTATGTCAACTCTTTCTTCTTGATCTTGGATTAACTGCTTCACATTTTACACCACGGAAGAGATCTCTCCATCCACAGAATGTATGTAGAGGCCTGATGAAGCAATTAACCCAGGTAGGCAAATAAATACCCTCATGAGCAGCAAGGTTAACACCAAGAGATATACGTGGTAGAATGCAAGCTCTTAATAGAAGAGAAAATGAGGAAGACAAAGGTCTGCACTGTAAAAACAAAAGAAAAAGAAATGCCTTATAGTGAAAACTCAGAGTAAAAAGGACACACGATGAACATGATGATATACCCCACATCACTGACAGGTACTTTATAAGCATTTTCACAAGACTTATTGTATATTATGTTCTTTCATATTCATTCAGTCTTATGAAATGCAGAGGAAACCTATTATTGCTTCTAGCTAACAAATGAAAAAGGTGAGGCTTAGAAAAGTGAAAATCCCTTGCCCATAGGCAAACAACCAGGAAATGATAGAGACTGGACTTGAACCTAGATTTTCTGACTCTAGGTACAGCGGTCTACCTAGTCCTCCCAAACAGTCAAACATCTGGACTGACTGAGCAATATTCTTGCTCATCAGCAGAAAACTGGAAGGAATGACTTCTAAACAAGATCCCCAAACCGTGAGACTCCATGATTCCAATGTGCTCACTACCCCTTGAATGCCCTCTTGACAAAGAACAAACTCACACAATCACTTTGTACGTGCACATATGCAAACATGCATGCTATGTCTGTGCACACCTGCATGCTGAGGGCAGGTAGGGAGCTGCAGAACCAATACTTAGGACATCAAGAATAATAAATGAATATCAGACTAGACCACTGAAACCTGCCTCTCTGCATAGAAATATTTTTAGCTTGCATCAAGTTCCTCTTTGCATAAAACACTGACATTTTCGTGATGTTCAGGAGCCTGCTGTTGGCTTCCAAAAGCTCTGGCACTATACCATGCTGTCACTGTAACTGCCCTCCAGTGAGCCATCAAAATCCTGACTAGAACATTTTTGAATACAGCAGTTTTCTTGCCACCAAAACACTAAATTGCAATATTTTATATTTATCTCTATTTAAATTTTAGTGATGCCACATAAATGTTAACACGGTCTTACACTAATACAATCACGAAAAAGTCTTAGTAACACCACATACTGGCACAGACCCCAGATGAGTTATGGCTTGCTAAGCAGGCCCAAAGCATGCTTCTCAAGTCACTTAGTCCCCCTTAACTAAGATGTGACATCAAGATGTTTCCCCCATGAAATGTGTTTCCGGAAGCAATGGCAAAGTATACATAGAATCATTTGTTCACATTCAAAGTAGAAAGAAAGTATTTGGGATTACAGAAAAGATTACCCAAAAGGGTCTGGGGGAGAGGTTAATAATGTTTGAATCAATTATTTTATGGCGTGAGAAACAAAAAGTGAGCCTCAGTAAGTTCTCAAGCCTGTAAAGCCTTATGAAGATAAGGACCTTAACTTTTCCAGGGCTGAAATCACAGCTACCAATGACAAATTCACATATTCTTCACCTTTCCAGTGCGTGCACAGGCAGTGATATCCCTGCCTGGCTCTGGTAAATCAGAGCAAGGGAGATATGCCCTGGAGTCCACAGGACAACCAGGGGTTGAAGATGAGGCAGGTAAGCAATAAGGGAAACAAAGGCCTGCAGTGCCCTCAACCTCTCCCCATGGAACAATTCTTCCAGCCTTCCTAGCTTTGCCCCTCAATTTACTAAGAAAAGATGCTTAAGTCTTTGAGAATGAGAGGGCATCAGACCGATACTCTGATTAAATAAAGATAAGCAGAGATGAAAGGCAAAGGAAATCTTTTCAAAACAAAGATTCCTGTCCATCAACAGAGGAATGGATAAAGTAGATGTGGTATATATATACAATGGAATATTACTCAGCCATAAAAAGGAACAAAATTGGGTCATCTGCAGACGTGGATGGACCTAGAGACTGTCATACAGAGTGAAGTAAGTCAGAAAGAGAAAAACAAATATTGTATATTAACATATATATGTGGAATCTAGAAGAATGGTATAGATGAATTTGCAAAGCAGAAACAGAGACACAGTCGTAGAGAACAAATATATGGATAACAAAGGGAAAGGAGGGGGTGAGAGGAATTGGGAGATTGAGATTGACATATATACACTACTGATACTATGTATAAAATAGATAACTAATGAGAACCTACTGTATAGCACAGGGAACTCTACTCAATGCTCTGTGGTGACCTAAATAGGAAGGAAATCCAAAAATGAGGGGATATATATATGTATACCTGATTCATTTTGCTGTACAGTAGAAACTAATACAACATTGTAACTATATTCCAATAAAAATTAATTAAAAAAAAGATTCTAATGGTAAAAATGTTCAGAATAGCCTTTTTCCTTCATCACCACAATCCCTGCATGCAAGCGAGGCAACACTTAATAGGAACCACACGTGCCCTTAAAGCAAGAATCAGAATACTCGTTCCTGTTGTAGAGGAACAAATGGTCCTAGGAACAGATTTTCAAAAACAGAAGGAACTATAGCTCCAATGGACCAACTACAGCTTGAAGACATCTTGACTTTTTTAGGATGAGTATAATGATGAGGTGTTCAAATCTCTTTCTGTATCCACTCTTTAGAGATGTTCATTTCTCTTGCCTGATCAGTCTTCTAGCATAAGTCAGGCTAACTGAAATTTAAACAACTCCCAATCCAGAGAGTGTGATAATCTGACTGCATGTTGATTGGTTCCAGGCAACTAGGGGAAGACACATTTCCCCCCAAAAGGCCCTCCTTGGTCAGGTTCATCATTTATTCATCACCAGAGTAGCTTTACTGCCAAAAGGATCAGCTCTTAGAGTTCATTCCCCTTCCTCTCAACTACCTATGGTTGGTCTAACTTCTAACTAGCTTTGAATAAAACAGAGAATGTCACCTAAAATATGTTATTAAATGTCCACACAGGGCTTCCCTGGTGGAGCAGTGGTTGAGAATCCGCCTGCCAATGCAGGGGACATGGGTTCGATCCCTGGTCCAGGAAGATCCCACATGCCACGGAGCAACTAAGCCTGTGTGCCACAACTACTGAGCCTGTGCTCTAGAGCCCGTGAGCCACAACTACTGAGCCTGCGTGCCGCAACTACTGAAGCCCACACGCCTAGAGCCTGTGCTCCACAACCAGAGAAGCCACCGCAATGAGAAGCCTGCTCACTGCAACGAAGAGTAGCCCCTGCTAGCCGCAACTAGAGAAAGCCTGCACACAGCAACGAAGACCCAACACAGCCAAAAAAAAAAAAAAAAAAAAAAAAAAAAAGTCCATACATATAAGATGAGGGGGAACCAAGAGTCACAGATGCTGACAACATGAGTGAAAATTCTTATCTACTTGGAATAAGGGCAGAATCAAATTCTTACTCTAGTTTCAATGGGATTACACTAAACTGTGGATAGAGATGTGCATGAGTTCAAATGTAACCTTCTTCCAGGCCCGTCAGGCCAAGAGTAAAGCTAGACTTCACCTGAAGCGTCCAAAGGATCCTGGCCAATGGGATGTCCATCCATTCTGCTCACCTGGAAAAGGCAGCCCCCAGCACAAACGCAGCATACTCCTTCAGCAGGGGTTCTGTGCTGTTCAGCCCGTTGATCACCACTTGAAGGCCACCGAAGGAAAGCAGGTCCTGTGCATTATCCATCTGCAACAGAGGCACTGCTTAGTACAGTACAGACATCAAGGAAAGAAAAGCCTTTCTTTTGGTGAATGTTGAAGAACAAACTAAAAAATCAAGTAAAAAGTGTCGGTGGCCTTTCTAATTAGGAAAGTTTTTTTTTTTGTAAAAAGAAAAAACTAAATTTTTAAATAATCTTAAATTTGAGAATTCCTAATTCACCTAACGTGATTTATGAGCACCTGCGTGGGAACTGGCAGAAATGGCACCTAGCAATTGCTTATGCCAAACATGTCCTGGAAAATTCTAATACCGTAATGAGTCACAAGCTTACTCGTAATGTACAAGCTGTTAACACAAAGATCTGGCGTCATCAGCACTAGTAAAAGGCACTATGCTTCCTGTTGGTGTCCAGCCTCAACGCGGGCAGTAGAGGCAGCAGACACTTTTTAAAAAGCTGATTTTTAATTAGAAATCAGGGACTGTAATAGGAACTCTGTTGCAGGGAAAGGGCTGGGAAAGGGCTGGAAAAGTGCTAGGAGAAGAATAACAATAGTACGCTTCTCTTCCCTCTTCCTCACTTTATAGTCTAAGGTTGACTGAATCTGAGGACACTCAAGATAAATCTGCACAAAAGTCTCTCTCTCAAAAGCTTTAGCTTAGGTCTGTGCTACTCACTAGTGGCTATTATTGGACAGTGCAGAACATTTCCACCATCCCATAAAGTTCCTTCGGACAACACTGGTCTAGGCTATACTTAAGGTCCAAAGCCCCAAGTCCAGACTCTGTCTCTTTTATTCTATAGGGAATCTCATTCCCCAAGCTTCACTGGTATCCTGGAACAAGACTCAACTTCCTCAGAAAGGTCACTGGATCCTGTTTTCCCCATGCAGTAGCTACAGTCTCCCTTGAAAATATCTCTGTTGCTATAAAAGCTGTCTCTTGCCTACATGCTGATCCCACTCTACAAATCCTCAGGAAAACTCAGGAAACTAGAGCCCAACAACAATGTGACTACTACCCACCTTTTTCCTCCAGATGCCACTGAGCCCTGTCCTACCTGACTGTATCTTTCCAAACTGGAAGATGGCTCTAACAGAGAAATCCAGTTTGAAGGGCTGTATTTGACTCTGCCTATGTTTCTAGAGAGGTCTAGCCCGTTTTTACCACTTAGAAGGTCATTCTTATACTCAACCACAAGAGCAGGGGTTTTTGTCTTTCTGTCCACTGGTATAGGCCCAGTGATTACAACAGTGTAAGCATATAGTTAAGTGTTCAATAAATCATCATTAAACCAATGAATAAAGTTGATCAGAAAAAGATGTTACTGAAATAAACTCCACTGTGAGTAAAAAAGGCAATCTGATGTATGTGTGTCAACAAAATGAATGGGTCGCTTGTACCACAAACCTAAAGAGATGGCCAATCCAGGGCCATGAAGTAAGCATGGAGTCTGCTCTGTCATAAGGTCCCGAAGCCAGGGTTGGCATTTGTGTGCCCTAATATGTCCTTATGAAGAGGAATGATTTACTGGGCCATAGCCCAGCTAACTAGGAAGACCCAGAGCTGGGTGCTTTGCTGACATAAGCACAAATAATACAGGACTTCCCTGGTGGTCCAGTGGTTAAGAATCCGCCTTCCAATGCAGGGGACACAGGTTTGATTCCTGGTTGGAGAACTAAGATCCCACATGCCGCGGGGCAACTAAGCCCGTGTGCACCACAACTACTGAGCCCACGCACCACAACTAGAGAGAAACCCACGCACTGCAACAAAAGATCCCGCATGCTGCAACTAAGACCCAACGCAGCCAAAAAAATAAATAATAAATAAATAAACAAATAATACTTACTGAGTCTTCCTTCCTCACATACTCTGATTTTAAAATCTAAGAATTCACTACCTCTCCTTCGATCTTCCTTCCTCCAAGTTTTCTAGATATAAAACTCTGGCTCGGAGTCCTATAATTTCATGCCTGAGATGGCTACTTATCAAGGCTGGTATGAGTCCCTAGCAGAGCAAAGCAACACAGCCCAGAATCACAGAGGTTCTATTCTAGATTCAGTTTATCTTCATTACTACAAAGATAATCCAGGGTATTATAAATGCTGACATTTATATAAGCACTTCAGCCTTTTCAAGATGTTTTCTCGTTTGTTATTTCACTGGAGACGAGGAAGAAAAGAGTCACTCTGCCTACTGCACACCCAAGCTCCAAAATCTGGACCCTGCCCAGTATCACACAGGAGAAGGCATGACCAGAGCCTGGGTCTGGGGCCAGAACTTTTCCCAGGCTACCCTCAGGATTGGGTGGGACAGGTGGAAAGGAGCTCAAGGTAGAAGCAGGGAGCACATAAGGTAGGAGGCAGTAGGGAACTATGCCAACACTCAGGAGGGAAAAAGGGAACCAGAAAACTGACAAGACAATGAGATAACCAAGAGAATAAAGAAAGGGAGAAATGATGGTAACTAACTGAGGAGTCACATGAGGGAAGGCAAATACACCACCCCAGGGTGGATGGGGCAGACAGTGGCTGTTCCTTATAAATAACTCACACACTGTTCCACACACATGGTTTTGCTTTTCACAAATCTTGTTTAATAATTCAAACATGGCTGTGAGGAATCCTTGGGCAGATCTACTTTGGGTCCTTGAAGCCCATGGCTCCTCAAAACCGCCAATCAGTAAGTCTAGAATAGAAGTGGACTAAGTAAGTTCCTGGCAAGAAGAGTCCTATCTTCCTCAAAGCTAGTACTACATCACCCTAATTCCTCATCACAACTGGAACTTGAAGCCGAGCTATGTCTTCTTTAATCCCCTGGTGCAATCACAACTTAACACTGCTGCAGGAAGCCCGACATACCAGCCCAAACCACCTTATCCATATTTCTACTCAAAAGACCAATCACCCAAAACACTTATGACTCTTCTGCCAACAGATCAAGTTTGGTCTCCATGCGGGAACTGGTTCCTGGACTGACCACAGGCTAAGTTTGGTGATGTCCAAGAAACTGTTAATCCCACCCAGTGACCCATGAAAGCAGAATGGGTTATCAACCTAGAGATGACACTGCAGGGTGACCAAAGAACCTGCAAGGGAAATAAAATTTGTTAGGGCCCTGCTAGCCTCCTGTGTACTCACTCCCCCTAGGTAAGATAAGCTCTTATAAAAGGTCATTTGGCCTTTTATGCTGCAACTAAAGAGCCTGAAGCCTGATACCTAAAGATCCATCCAAGTATGTTAAGATGAGAAAAAATAAAAGCTGTCAACATCAGAGCAGGACTGAGCTGGCCAATAACCCCTAGGATTCTTAATCCTTTAAATATCTATAACGGAAAAGCTGTTGGAATTTTTGGTTTTTACCCTGGAGAGAAAGACTGGAAAGAGGAAAGAGAACCCAGGTCCATTTTCTTTCTAAAAGGATCACAGATCTGTTATTTGAGGCCTGAGAAAGAGTTATGAGCAGAGAGAGATGAACAGGCCACCCCATAATTCCTGCAGATACAGTACACACTCATCCTCTCTCAACACAAAGGCTGGCAAAATCCTAAAGAAAGAATGTCTTTTAGCCTAGTTTATAGAGAACAAGGACGCTGTTGTGCGTGGGAGGATGCTGAAGATCTATGTCTTGATGAAGATCTCAAACAAGCCTTTGATTATGATTACACAGACTTCCCAGGCCATCATCGCCCCTAGTCTGGATTACTGCAATAGCCTCCTATCTGGTTTTCCTGCTTCTACCCATGCACTCGGCCTACAGACTAATTCTCAACACACAGCCAGAGGGATCCTTTAAAAGTAAGTCAGATCAAATGCTTCTTCTGCTCAACATCCTCCAAACAGTGTCTGTCCAATTTCATTCTTTTCCACAGCCAACAAGACGCTCCATGATCTCCCTTCCCTTATCTCTCCAAGTTTTACCTACTTCCCTCCCCCTTCTCTTAGCTCCCGCCACATTATTGTACCCCAAACACACTAGACATGCTCCCACCTTTAGGATTCAGTACTTGCTGTTGCTCCTGTCTGAAATCTTCCTTCCCAACACTGCCAATCCTTATCCTGCTCTACTTTTTATTTTTGAATAGTACCTATCACCTTCAAACATATTATATATAATTTACTTATTAGTTATGTTTGTTGTCTATCTGCCTCTTCTAGAAGGTAAGCTCCAATTTTGTTCACAAATGTATCTTAAGTGACTGGAACAGTGCCTGAAACTTAACAGGCGTGCAATAAATTAACTTATTCAATAAGTGCATGACCTCTCTTGGCTCCTTCCACTTATATCCACCTATTCTCCTCTGAGCTTCATTCAGATGGCACCAGTATCCTGTGAGTAGCCAAAAGGTTTAGAGCACAGAGTTTAGGGTCAGACAGATCTTGTTGCAAATCCCAGCTCTACACTCACTAACTGGCTGACCTTGGGCAATCACAAATGTGACCTGTGCTTTATTTGCCTCAGTTATAAAATGGGATTAACAGTAGTACTCCAAAGGCAGGTATGGAAGTCAATGAATTAATGTGTACAAGGCACTTGAATATGTGCCTAGTATATGATAATGCTCAATAAACATTAACTATTACAATTATGGCACAGGTCTTATCAGTCATTTCCCTGCTTCAAACTCCCCAATGGTTCTTAGGATCAAGGATAAAATCATGAAGAGAATGATTTTCCAAACCTCACCTCTCTGACTCCCTAACCTTTCCACTTTATCTGTGCCACCCCACCCACTGGTCTCTGTGCTCCAGTCACTCCAGTCTTTTCCAGGTCCTCAATCTCACCAAGTTCTTCTCTGACTCAGAATTTTTGCACATGCTGTTTCCTCTGCCTCTAATGCTCTAATACAATGGGGCAAACTTTTCCTGAAGGGCCTGAAAGTAAACATTTTTGGCTTTGTGAGCCATGTGGCTCACTGCCACTGTAGCAGTAAAACAGTCAAAAGCAATAAAACAACACATAAACAAATAGATGTGACTGTGTTCCAATAAAACTTTGTTCACAAAAGTGGGCCATAGTTTGTCACCCCCAGTTCCAATCTCCCCTCTTTGCCTAGTTAACCCCTAATCATCCTTTAATGCTCAGCCTAAATGTCACTACTTCAGAGAAGCCTTCCCCAGCTAGGCTAAGTTCCCCTGTTATATATTCACACGTTACCCTCTGGAGCCCTTATCGCAGTCTTAAATTATCTCATTATTAAATTGTTAATTTTTTCATTGTTCAATTGTTCATTATTTAATCACTCTCACTTCCAGACTATAAGCTACATGGAACAAGTACCACATCTATTTTACCTCTGCTGTATCCTCAGTGTTGAAAAATTAAATGAAGTAACACTCCAAATGAAAAAGAGCTTGCCTCTGGTCTGTAAGAAGATATCTTACTACAACAGATATTGGCCTAGATTAAAAATGCTATATACCAGGCTTCCCTGGTGGTGCAGTGGTTAAGAATCTGCCTGCTAATGCAGGGAACATGGGTTTGAGTCCTGGTCCAGAAAGATCCCACATGCTGCAGAGTAACTAGGCCCAGGCGCCCCAACTACTGAGCCTGCGCTCTAGAGCCCGCGAGCCACAACTGCTGAAACCCGTGCACCTAGAGCCCATGCTCCACAATAAGAGAAGCCACTGCAATGAGAAGCCCGCACACCGCAACGAAGAGTAGCCTCCGCTCACCACAACCAGACAAAGCCCGCGCGCAGCAACGAAGACCCCACGCAGCCAAAAAAATAATAATAATAAATATTTTTTTACAAAATGCTGTACACCTTGAGAGAGAAGGAAAGATGGTGACAATATTTTCGTAGGGCCTTGGGCAGGGGGTGTTATTTTTTGGAGCTGTTAAAAGTCAGACTGACAGTCAATGAAATATAATACCTGATGGACATAATATTCAAGATCAAAGAGTGCCGCAATCTTCTCTTCCAGGCTGGAGTTGGAACTATTGAACTTGTTGATCAGTCGTACCATAATCTGCATGTCAGTCTCAATGACAACATTCAGCTCCTCAAAGTCCTTCTTCAGCTCCTCAATGGGACGGAACAGCCGTTTAACTTTGGCCTGCCTTGCCTAAGGAGAGTAGCAAAGAGATGGTTAATCCTCAGTTGAAGACATCTCCCCAAGACTCCTGTGGTCTACCATGGATGCCCATCCTCAAAGAACTGCTGCTCTAGGAGGCAATGTTCTTTAATCTGTACTATCAAAAGTCCTGATACTTTCCAAGATGCCCAGAGAATAGAGAGCCCTCAGAGTCTACCCATGTAGCCCTCTGCCCCAAGAACACACTCAAGATTTTCCAAGGTTCACCTAACTCAGTATGCCTTCCAATGTTCGGAAGAATGTCAAGTCTTCTTTTTGTAATCACTGAGGTCAGGGGAAGCAATGCAAGCTCACTCTCCAACCCCTAACCTCACGCGGGAAAGCTGAGGTCTAAGACGGAATAATCCACACCTTGGTTCTTTTTCTTCTACAATCATAGGATATCTTTGCTTTGCCCCTGCCCCATCCAGCAACATTTTAGGGAAACCCGGATGGAGGACACTGTGGGTAAAGAGCTGTCAGAGTGGGAGCAATTTGCTGATGAAAATTAAATCTCTGTCATTACTGTCAATCTAACTACAGGTGTACAATTTGTTCAACTTTTGAAGTAGCTAAATTACTGTATGTACTATAATCAAGTCTCAAACAATTTTTGCTCAGTCCCTCCCCACCCCCCACACATATAAAGATTTTAAAATGAAGTTATGTTGGAGGTGAATAAGAGGCTTTAATTAGATATTTTATACATGTGATACTTTCTGTTTTCTTCCCAATTTTAGAGGATAGTGCTTATAAAGAGAGTCTGAAAGGTCACAGTGGCTTATGTCTCTATCTTCCAAGAATAATTAAAAGGCCCGAATATTTATAAAAGGCAGGATGATGAGCAGCTGTCAGCTCCAAATTGCTCATCTATTACTTGTGGGTTTTCTCTCCAGTTACAAGGACTCCATAGAAACACCAACCAAAGAAATGAATCAGTCTCTCTTAAAAAAAAAACTAAGTTCCTAGCAGAGCAATCACACCTATGCGATGCCATATTCTCCTTTAGGCTAAACAGTGAAATGCTCTCCTTACACCCAGCTAGAGGACTCTGGGTGGCTGCCAAAGGCCAGGCAAAGAGGTCTAGGAAAGCTGAGTCACTGCCTAGAGCTGTGGGATGACAGACAAGTGAGCAGGATAAGAAACTAGTCACCTCTGCCTCACAAAAATGATGCATGCCTGGCCCTTCGGAAGGCCTTTAACAAAACAAAACTTTAAATTTTGCAGTAATTATAAACTCAAAGGAAATTACAAAAATAATACACAGAGTACTGTATAGCCTTCATTCAGCTTCCTCCGATGGTAACATCTTATGCAATAACAGCACAATGTCAAAACCAAGAAAGTGACATAGGTACAATACTATTAACTAGACCACAAGCCTTATTCAGATTTCACCAGCTTTTACATGTACACATTTGCATGTACGTGTGTGCATCATTCTCCACAATTTTATCTAATATACAGATTCATAACAGAACAATCAAGTTACAGAACTGTTCCATCACCATCAAACAACTCCACCGTAGTCCTCTGTAGTTGCACCTCATCCTCTCATCCCTTGCCTCCTGTCCCTATGCCCTGGCAACCACTAACTTGTTCTCCATAACTATAATTCTAGCATTTGGTGAAAGCTATACAGACAGTTACACAGTCTGTAATTTTTTGAGATTGGCCCTTTTACTAAACTTAAGGCACTTGAGATCTATCCAAGTTACTGTAAATATCAATGGTTTGTTTCTTTTTAATGCTGAGTAGTATTCCACTGTATAGATGTACAGTTTGTTTAAACATTCACCTGTTGAAGAATGTTTGTTTCCAGGTTTGGAGTATTATGAATAAAACCGCATGAACATTTGTATAAAGCTTTTTAAAAAAATAAATTTGGGGGCTTCCCTGGTGGCGCAGTGGTTAAGAATCTGCCTGCCAATGCAGGGTACATGGGTTCGATCCCTGGCCCAGGAAGGTCCTACATGCTGCAGAGCAACTAAGCCCGTGTGCCACAACTACTGAGCCTGCGCTCTACAGCCCGTGAGCCACAACTACTGAGCCCGCGTGCCACAATTACTGAATCCCACGCACCTAGAGCCCGTGCTCTGCAACAAGAGAAGCCATAACAGTGAGAAGCCTGCACACCACAACAAAGAGTAGCCCCGCTTGCCACAACTAGTGAAAGCCCTCACACAGCAATGAAGATCCAACACAGCCAAAAATAAAATAAAATTTAAAAAATAAACTTAAGTTCTTATTTCTCTGGGATAAGTGCCCAAGAGTGCAATTGCTGGGTCATAATGATAAGCATATGTTTGGTTTTATAAGAAAGAGCCCAACTATCTTCCAGAGTAGCTGAACCATTTTATATTCCCACTAACAATGTATGAAAGATCCAGTTTCTCCACATCCTCACTAGTATTTAGTATTATCATTTAATAGTAATAGATACTGCTATCTATTACTATCTATCTAATAGATAGTATTATCACTAAATAGTAATAGATGTATAGTGATATTTCATGGTGAATTTAATTTGCATATCTCTAACATCTAATAACATTAAACATTTTTTCATGTGCTTATTTGCCATCTACATATCCTCTTTGGTGAAATGTTTGTTCATGTCCTCTTCCCATTTTCAAATTGTTTGTTGGTTTTTACTGTTAAGTTTTGAGGGTTCTTTATATGTTCTAGATAGATGCAAGTCTTTTATCAGATAGACAGTCCTTGCTTTGTACAGATCTGATATGCACCAATTTCAACCGCAGTTTAAATAATACTAGTCTCCCAACATGACTCAAACTTCAGTTGCCATCAATATATTTAACTTTAATTGCATTAAGTACCAACTTTGCTGCTAGCTCTTCAGTCCATAAATCACTATGTAAATAACATAAATGCCAATCATGAACAGTGGCTGATCACATTTATTTCAAAATCTGACAGTGAACTATCACTGTGCATCCATTATGCAGTTCACACACAGATGTCAAGTGTGTGGTTATATGGCTTCCTCACCCTCCAAGGACAAACCCATGTAACATTTCATAAAAATGGATAATCAAAAGAGAGAACTGATCAACAAAGTTGAAAGCGCAGCAAAGAAACAAAAAGTGGTAACTCTGGTAGTTGAACATATATTACTAAACACACATGGAATTACAGATGATGTCATAATTTTTGCTACAACTATCAAAATAATTTTAAAACTTCAAGAGAAGGATAGTCTATTATAGTCTCCCTTATTTTTATTCACTTCACTGTTCTTTCTTCCCAATGGTCCATGTTTTCTTCTGTTATTATTTCCTTTCTCTTTGAAAAATATTCTTTAGTCATTCTTTTAGGTAGGTCTGCTGGTGATAAATTCTTTTAATTTTCTTTTGTGTGAGAGTGTCTTGATTTTCTCCCTGACACTCCTGAAGGAGATTTTCATTGGCTACAGAATTCTGAGTGAACAATTTGTTTTTTTCAGCACTTGAAAAATATGCCACATATTTTTGGCCTTGTGATTTCAGATGAAAAAGATGCTGTCATTCAATCATTATTCCCTATTGATAGTATGTGGTTTCTGTCTTGCTACTTTCCAGATTTTTTTTGTCTTTAGTTTTCAGAAGGTTGACTGTGATGTGTCATGGTATTGATTTCTTTGAATTTATCCTATTTAGAATTCACTCAGCTTCATGAATCTGTGGGTTTATATCTTTCACCAATTGGGGGAGTTTTCCATCTTTATTTCTTTGATTATTTTCTCAGCCCAATATTCTTTCTCCTCTCCTTCTGAGACTCTGTGACACAAATCTTAGATTTTCTGTTATAATCCTACAGGTCCTTAAGTCTCTGTTCATTTTTTTTTCAATCTGTTTTCTGTTACTTAGATGACTTTTTATCTGTCTTTAAGTTCACTGATTCTTTTCTTTCTCATCTCTATTCTACTAGTAAGCCTATCCAGTGATTATTTTTCTAATTTTCAGTTGTATTTTTCAGTTCTAAAATTCTATGCTGTTCTTTCTTATGTCTTCTATTTCTCTGCTGAGATTATCATTTGTCTCAAGAGTGTACATAACTGCTTGAAGCATTTTTATGATAACTGCTTTAAAATTCTTGTTTGATAATACCAACTCCTGGGTCATCTCACTGTTGGCATTGGTTAATTGTCTTTCCTAATTCAAGTTTTGATTTTCCTGGTTCTTGGTATGATGAGTGATTTTTGGTATACTAGGCATTTTGAGTATTAAGTTATAAGACTCTGAATTCCACTGAAACTTCCTTTACAGTAGGCAGTCACACTGTTTAGGTTTAATATGTTGGTTCTGGTCTTGTACAGTTGTGACCCCAAGACAATTTAGTTTTCACAGAATTTGCAGTGTTATTTTGGTCTGCTTCCTGTGTGTGCTACCTAGAGCTAATCTAAAAACATGGGCAGTATTCTAGTTCCATTCTCAAATCTGCTGTGTTAATTCTGGTCAGTTTCTCTTGTGGGTTACTAGGGAGCATTCCCAGAACTTCATATGCAAAATTCCTTTCTCCATCTCCCTTCCCTCCAAAACCCTACCACCACTCTTCTTGTTAGGAGAAGGAAGAGCATCACCTGCCACTGCTGCACACTCAGCATTGGGAATGGAAGCCCTTCCTTGGCCTCTACTGACATCACCTTGGCAGGGTAACTGAAGCACTGCCTCATCACTGCTGATCTGAGGGTAGAAGTTCGGGCTCCTCACTTATCCCCATTAACACTGCCCCGGAGTAGAAAGCCGAATGCTGACTTACGCTGCCTTGTTCCCACCAGATGGAGGGTAGAAGTACAGACTCTCCATTCACCAGCCCTCCGGCATCGCTGAAGCTAAGAGAAGTGAAAAACTACCTTGGTGCTGCCAGGGAGGGGACAGACATTCAGGTTCCCTTCTTAGCCTCTGCTGACACCACCCCAACAGAAAAAGCAGCCTGCTATACACTTGGTCTCTACTGGTACTACAGCAGTGGGAGAAGCAGAGAATAGTCTTCTACCACTGGGCAGAGAGTAGAAATTCAGGCTCTCTGCTCAATTCTCCCTGACACCACCTTGATTGAGGTAGAAGAGCACTGCCTCACACCATCTATTGCCACCAGAGGGGGCGCAAGTTCAGGCTCCCCACTCAGCTTCTGCTGACACCACTCTGGTGGAGGAAAGAGAGTACAGCTTTGCTATATTACACCAAATGGGAGGTGGAAATACAAGTTCCCCATTCAACTCCCACTGGCACTAAGGGAGGTCTTTGGCTAAAGCAGAATAAGTATTGTCAAAAAGTTTTTTGTTCTATTAGGCTGCCCTTTTCCTAGTTCTATCTTATGAAGAGCAGGCCTTTCTTAGGGCCTTTCTCTATCTGTACCTGTTGCTATTTCCAAGATACGGGCTTCTCCAGTGCCCATTCTGGGATACAGAGAGGGCAAAAAGAAAGCCAAGGAACTCACTGCCATGTCATCCCTGAAATTCCAAGGTCCCTATCTAATCCACCTTCTTCTTCTCACCTTTAAAGTCTTCTTATATTTGCTTTTAGTATTATGTCCAGGATTTTTAGTTGTCCTGAGCAGGAAGAATAGGGAGAAATGAGTCTATTTTATCTTGTCCAGAATCAAAAGTTTAAGAAGGCCATATTTGGGGGACCTCCTGGTGTTCCAGTGGTAAAGAATCTGCCTTCCAATGCAGGGGACGCGGGTTCGATCCCTGGTCGGGGAACTAAGATCCAACATGCCGCAGGGCAACTAAGCCCACGCGCCTCAACTAGAGAGAAAAAACCCACACACCACAACCAGAAAGAGAGAAACCCACGTACCACAATGAAGAGCCCGTGCGCCACAACAAAAGATCCCACAGGCCGCAGTGAAGATCCCTCGTGCCACAACTAAGACCCAATGCAGCCAAAAATAAATTAAATAAATAAATAAATATTTTTTAAAAAGAAGACCATATTTTTTAATGGAGCAATTTATAGGATATAGGTAAATAACAGCTGACGTGATAAAACATAAAGCATCAAGCAATTTGCATGATAGTAGGGGGATAAAGAGATCAGGTTCAAAAACAATGGCCCAAATGTGTTGGGTAAGACAGAGATTTTCCACAAAACAAGGGACTCTGGGGGCTTTGCTGGTGGCACAGTGGTTGAGAGTCCGCCTGCCGATGCAAGGGACACGGGTTCGTGCCCCGGTCCGGGAAGATCCCACATGCTGCGGAGCGGCTGGGCCCGTGAGCCATGGCCGCTGAGCCTGTGCTCCACAACGGGAGAGGCCACAACAGTGAGAGGCCCACGTACCACAAAAAAAAAAAAAAAAAAAAAAGCAAGGGACTCTGGGAAGGACTGGTTCACTTAAATCTAATAAGTTACCAATGGTTATAATGGAATTGATGCCCTTCTCCCAAAAAAATCAGGTAAAAAAAATTAACTCAATTGGTTGAGATATGATACAATATCTCACAGTATTGTCTTTATAAATAGTAAAAGTACATCCTGTACTTGCAAGTCACCATGCAAAGATTTTGTTTAAAGATTGATAAACAAAAAGTATTATGGTATCTGCAGCCAGGAGCTTGAGACATGTAACAAACTCCCCAACCTACTTCAAGTTAATTTATTTGCCAGTCCCAATGCATTGGCAGGGAGCTGAGTCAGTCCAGGAAGGATACAAATGAAAATGAGAAAAAGAACCTAGGACCCCAGCACCTCAGTGAAGGAGCTAACAACCTAAGTGCCACAGAAGTAAAGAAACAGTGTGGCAGCCATAAGTCAGAAGTGGCAGCTGACTCAAATCAGCTGGTACAGGAGTGTCATATTTGGCTACCATTATTGGGATCTCCCCTTGCACAGGGAAAGAATTATTTTTAATAGCAAAAAAAACAGCAACTGAAAACTTAAATAATCTCTTGCTTTTACATTAAAAAATATTTTCATAATATTCATACTTTTCTACACTAACTGAATTAGGGGTAAGAATGTCATTAAAGAGAGCAAAGAGAAGAGACAGGGGTGCAGTGGGTCTTCCACCCACAGAGAAAACATGGAACAGGGGCCAACTTTTATGTTCCCATCTGCTCCATGTGGAGCTCATGGTGAGAGAATGAGTGGGAATGAACCCAACCCCTGGTCACAGGAATACCAATCTCTGCTCCAGGCACCTAAGCATGCACTGCTCTCCTCTGCTGGCCTCACCTTCAGCAGGCAGGGGATTTGCTTTTCCTCACACCTCTCCACCCACACAGTTAATACACCTGCAGTGGGATATAATTTTATGCATCACCTTCCTTTACCACAATTGCTGCCATCCTGCTACTCACCTTCTCATACCACATACACTCTCCACGTTGGGAGATGAGACTTTGGTAAGATGAGTAAAGACATGGAGACTTGGCCTGCATATTAACACCTCCTCCTGAGCTCCTCTCCAACACACACACACACACACACACACACACACACACACACACACACACACACAGTCCATCTGTCTCAGAAATACTTAGCTCTGAAGGATCTGAGGGACCTAAAGCTTCCTCCACTAACACACAGGCTGTCAAGAACCTGGTGTTGCCTTTCCAAGATACTGCCAGAATTCTGGGGTGAGGGCAGAGAAATATAATACAAAGCAAAGGGGCTTGTGAAGAGGAGAAGGGGGAGGGAGAACTTAGAAAGGTCTGCAAGGCAGACATTGGAGGAGGTTCTTTCAAGGACAGGACTCAAGTGGAAATGTAAAAACTGATTTGCAACATTCTCTGGCTATCACATGAGCTCATGATCCATCTAAGAATAAGACTTCATTCTGATAGGTCGGGATCCATGAGCCATCCCAGACATTAGAGGCGTAACCAAGGGGCTACAATTCTGCCTCTTTCTCCTTTTCAGTCCCTTAGCTTATAAACAAATTTAGAGCTGGAGGAAACCTCAGCCATCTGTTGTACATTTAAGGAATTTGAGGTCTGGAAAAGGTTTGCTATATGTTCAAAGGACTTGGGCCCCTTCCTTCCTGGTCTAGGTCCTCTGTCCTTTAAACTTGTGCCTAATCCAAGTATAAGTGAAGAGATCTGGGTTTTAATCTCTATTCCCCTCACTGATGTCTGTGGTAATGCAGAGTATGGCTCTCTCTGCTTTGTGCTTCAGTTTTCCCAAATATGTAATGGGAAGTTGGATTCTAACGTAAACGATGACAGAAAAGTTCCCAGCGTTTTTTTTAAGAGTCTGTAAAGGGTTACTTATTTGGCATTAACTTACTTGGCTCTTTAAATTATTTTATAATATTATTGTTATTATTATCCCATGTTCACTGCTAAAGCTTCAGGAGACAGTGATTCCCTTCAAGGCCATTCTGCAGGATGACATGAACTCACTATAAACAACATCACAAACCTTGTCTTCCTTTGAACTCTCCATATCTGCCCCCTCCTTGAATTTTGCCAGTGCGCTCTTGAGGTCCTGAGATGTATAGGTATTGGTGTTGATGTCCAGCCTGTCCAAAGAGAAGTTGAGAGTCACAAGGGGGGCACCATCTTTCCCAAGAAAGAAAACTCCTCTGGGTGGCTGGCACTCCAAAGCCAGCTAATCCAGGCCAGCTCTAACTCAGAGCACACTGTCCTAACTTTGCCGTGGGTCAGCCAGAAGTCTAACAGGGTGATCTCACCTTGAAGCTAGAGGAGGAAAGAGCTGAAGATGGAGTCACTTCATGAAAGAGGAGAAAATGGCATAAGGCAGACAGAAGCCCACCATGGACAGAGAGCTCTCAACCAGCTACTTGGGCAGAACAAGTCTAGAATGACTGTGCGATGCTGCTCTCTCAGTACGTGCCAGAGTAAGACCTCCTGGAGGATGCTGGGCACAGACAGAGGAAATAACATATACCCTATTTATATTCTTCTAGGAAAGAGACCAACAGGGACCTGAGCCCCCCAAGTGTGTGCCTGACCTGATTTGACGACTCAGTCTATCTTTACAAAAACAGGTTGGATAAATTCATACCCTTAAGACCAACCCCTGAGCACAGAGTACATGCAGGAGGTATGAGTCAACCTGACAAAGGAATGAGTTTGAGATACTGAGAACTAAAATCGAGGCCAGCCACCTTCCATAGCCAGCCTCCAAGGACAGGGAAGAAAGGAACCAATGTGGACATAATGTCAGGAACCTGGCAGAGACTAGAGTGGTATCCTCACAAAGAGCCCTGGAGCTGATCCAAGCCACAACAATTCATCTTGACTGCAGAGAAGGTATTCATGGGGTGAGGGGGTGGAAGGCAGGTTTTGCCACCAGCACTCACTTCAGTTCAGTTAACAGAGGTAAGAAAAAGAGTGGTACATACAGACTAAGGGAAGCGTAGAAAGTGAGCTGTGCATGACAAGACTGTCCAGCTGGCAGGGCAGGGGGAGGGAGGAATCCAGATATCCCTGGAGATATATCAGAGGCTGGGGAGGAAGGGGCTACTGGACTACTCTCTGTTCCAGGTGAGATGAGTACATCAGTCTCATGGTCCAAGATCCTAGCCAGCCTCAGGTCTCATGAGAGGTACTCACTCAGTCTTTGATTCATCCTAGAGACCCCTTAGGGCCCTCAGAAAAACACTTGACTTCTTTAAACCCCAGTCCTCCTAAACTAATTAATAATAGCTAATCACTCCCATTTACAGACCACTTATCCATGTGTCAGGCACTATGTTAACCCTTTAGAAGTAATATTTCATTCAAATCATTACCACAACCCTACAAGGTAGGAAAGAGAACCCCTTTCCTGTCAGAGAATCACCCACTGCCAGCTGCAAGAGGATGCCACTGCCCTGACCCTTACCCCTAGGAGGGAGTTACGTATTTAGGGCTATAACTTGAGCAGATTATCTCCTCCTTCCTCCAATACTTGGTCAGGATTAATCCCGTCATGTCTGTATATCTGTTTACTGCCTAAAGTCCCATTCTTCAGGCTATCCATCATCACCCACTCTCAGCCCCAACTGCACACACAGAAGTGTGCACATGTGCGGGTACACATGAGTGTGTGCACACGCACAGGCACACATACAACTATCCTCAGCTGCTATTCTCACTTTATTCTTCACTGAGAAAAACAGATGTTATCAAGAACTCCCTCACCTTTCCATCATCCACTCTATACACCAACCTGCACCTAAATCTGTATTTTCTGCTTTCTCTACTATTGGAATGGATGACAGTGTCCCTGCCCCTGCTGAACTTAGGCTAGAGATCCCACTTGCCTTTTCAAAAGCTTTAACTCCCATAATTATACCACTCCCACCTGCCTGCATCATCAATTTTTCCTTTGATTGGATTATTCCCATCAGCATACCAACACTCCTTTGACTCCACAGTCTCTAATTATCATGCCATTTCCCTGCTCCTGTTCAGATTAAGTAAAACTTTATGAACACATTGTCTTCATTCACTATCCACACCTCCTTGAATGCTATTTACGTTGCCATATGCATTAACCTGGATTTTATTCCCACAACCCCACTAAAACTGCTCATCAAAATTCCCAGTAACTGATGGTCAAATCCAATGGACTCTTCACTAGTGCCATGTTCCTCAACCACTCAGCAGCATTTACACAGTTCACCCCTCCCTCCTTGAAACACTCTCCTTTCCCGGCTTCTTGTTGCCACACTCTCCGGGTTCTTCCTCTTCCTTACTCCTTCTCTGTCTCTTCTTGTTGGTTCCTTATCTCCTACCTAAATCCTATATGCTGGAACACCTCAGAGTTCAATCCTGGACAATCTTTTCTTCTCTATCTCTACCCTCTCACCTAAATATTTTAAAATATCTATCAGGCAGTGATGCCCAAATTTACATCTTTGACCCAAATCTCTTCTCTGAGTACCAGCCAGACTCCTGTACAACTACTGATATATCTTGGATCTCGGATATTTAATGGCCACCCCAAACTTATTACATCTAAAACATAGGTCTTGATAGTTCTCCCCATAAAACTGTCCCTCTCTCAATCTTTTCTAGTTCAATAAATAGTACCTTCAAGTACCTAGTTGTGCAAATCCCAAATGAGGCTTTACCCTGAACCCCTAACCCTACCCTTTTTCCAACCCCTACATCTAAGTCGTAAGCAAGTCCTATTGCTGCTACCTCCAAATTAAATCTCCAATTCATCCACTCTCCTTCACACACCATAGACTAAGCCACCATTATGTTTTGCCTGATCCACTTAAATGACATTCTAATCGTCTCTGTGCATCTTTTTTTGTCCACCTTCAATCTATCCTCCATATACATAACAACTAGAATGATCTTGCTAAACTACATTACATTAAATGACTCTCCCACCCCAAATCCTCCAATGGCTTTCCATTACAATTCTACTTAAATGAAGAACATTTAACATGCTCCTCAAAATTCCACATGATCTGGCCCCTCATAGCTTCCCAATCTCATCTCATATTAGTCTTCTTCCTTCTCCTACCCTCTAGTCAACCTGATCATTTTCCTGTTTCTTGAACTTGACAAAGCCCTTTCCTTAACAAAGCCAGAAAATCTTCTTGTTTCTTCTGCCTGAAATGCTCTAACCATAAACCTATAAAACTAACCCTCTGCATGACTAAATGCCCCTCATACTTCAGGTGTCAGTTCAAACATCTCTTTGAGAAGGATGGCCTTCTCAAACCATCCTATCTACAGTTACCTCCCTCAGGGACTTATCACCTTATTTCTTCCCTAGTATTTATTATAATCTGTAATTACCTTACTTGCATACTTATGTCTCTCTTTTCCTGCCTGCCAACCTCAATAAAGCTAGCATCTTGCCTGTTTTGTTTACTACTGTATCCCCAGTGCCTGGCACATAGGCACTCAATAGGTCTTTTGTGAAATGAATGAATGGAGTAAGTAAATGGTCCTGTCCTTGGCCCACTCCCTTAACTACTATACCATATTATACCGTGGTAAATGCTCAACCCAAAATGAAACAACTTGGATGCAGTTTGTCCCTTATCCCTCTAAACATAAGAGGATGACTCAAAAATCTGGTTGTTCCAAGGCAAAAATAGAGATGTACTATGGAGAGATTGACAGGGATACAGACTAAAACCAGTGGAGACGGCAATATCTAACACACAAAGAGGAAGAGGAAAACCTGCTGAGAGCCAACTATACACTGAACTCAGGTAGTGCCAAGAGAATCTTCTGGGACAAGTCAGAGTCAGGAAACCTCTCCCAGGCTTTAGAACCCACAGGAACTGTAGCTCTAGGTAGCAGTGTGGCCAGTCACACATCCAGCAGCTCTAATGGAGAAGCTGCCATGGATTAGGCTGAATGGACTATTCCCATCTCTCTCTAGCCAGTGGTTCTTTTTTTTTTTTAATTTACTTATTTTTATTTTTGGCTGCCTTAGGTATTTGTTGCTGCGCGCGGGCTTTCTCTAGTTGCAGCAAGCAGGGGCTACTCTTTGTTGCGGTTTGCGGGCTTCTCATTGGGTGGCTTCTCTTGTTGCAGAGCACGGGCTTTAGGCGCGTGGGCTTCAGTAGTTGTGGCACTCGGGCTCAGTAGTTGTGGCTCGCGGGCTCTAGAGCGCAGGCTCCGTAGTTGTGGCACACGGGCTTAGTTGCTCCGCGGCATGTGGGATCTTCCCGGACCAGGGCTCGAACCCGTGTCCCCTGCACTGGCAGGCAGATTCTTAACCACTGAGCCACCAGGGAAGTCCTAGCCAGTGGTTCTTAACTTTGTGGGATCACCAACTTCTTTGACAATCTGATGGAAAGCTGTGGATCTTGTTCCCCAAAACAGAATTAAGTCAATAAGCAAAATATTATAACAATTTTGAAAATTAGCCCTGCCCTTTGGCCTATGTTCCCATTCCAGAACTAAAGAGGCAGGAAGACACTGTAAAGTGGAATTAAAGGAGCACAGGATGAGGTCCACTCCATGAGAAGGAAGTCACCACCAAAGGCAATCAGAGACTCACTGAGCTCACAGCACTGAACACCCACACCACCTTGTCAACGCCTTTGGGCTTCTGTTCAGACAGGTTTGCTGCTGGCTATAAATGCTGAGAAGGAAGAAGACATGTCCAGCATATCCTGGAGGCTATTCCAGGGCAGAGCCCTCAGAAACGTTCCAAAGGAGAAAAGCAAAGAGGCAGGAGTAGGGACGAATATTCTTCTCTTATGGTGTCTCTACTACAGACCACATGGATGGCTCTGCTTTCTAGTATAAAAAGACAGGAGCAACAGACAAAGCGATAAGTGCTCCTACTGATGATCTATGGTCAGGTATTGGAGAAATCACTTCCCACAGTATTAAAACCAACAAATAAAAAGCTCCAAATTCATCAAGTTCCTAAAGCAGGAAAAAATAGTCTTAAACCAGGAAAAAATAGTCTTCTTATTCAGAAAATAAGACTTGACTTAGATGTGAGAAAAGACTTCCTAAGTACTTTGAGACACTGAAAAATGTATGTATAAGCATGCTAGGGATGGAGGGAGGTTGACAGGGGTTACGACAACGAGATTTGATTCTTTCTTCGATGGTTCTGAGAAAATAATCATCATATAACCTGGGTTAATCCAGGTTCAGGCCTATATGGAGAGATGGGGGAAAGTAAAGATCCTTCCCACTTTGGAGTGACTATAAGGATGACAAATAGCTCCTTATCTATCATAATATAAAGTTCAATTTTCCAACAGTGAAAAATGCCCAAATCTGAATAAGCTACTTTGTGGGCTTGTGAGTGCCACATGGACAGGATGGATGACCTTTTGCCAGGTATATAAAAGAAAAGACTCAGGTAAAAATTGGGTCTCTAAGGTAACTTTCTGCCTCATATCTAACTGCAAAATATTGTTAAAATAATAAAAATCCAAGGACTGAGTAACACTAACCCCACTCAGTAATCCATGATTGATTCCCAATACTTACATAAATAGGCATATCTCAGAGATACTGAGGTCACTGTTCCAAACCATCGCAATAAAGTGAATATTGCAATAAAGCGAGTCACATAAATTTTTTGGCTTCCCAGTGCACATAAGTTATGTTTACACTATACTTAGTCTATTAAGTGTGCAACAGCATTACGTCTAAAAAAAAAGTAGGTACCTTAATTAAAAGATACATGACAGGGCTTCCCTGGTGGTGCAGTGGTTGAGAGTCCGCCTGCCAATGCGGGGGACGCGGGTTCGTGCCCGGGTCTGGGAAGATCCCGCATGCTGCGGAGCGGCTAAGTCCGTGAGCCATGGCCGCTGAGCCTGTGCGTCCGGAGCCCGTGCTCCGCAACAGGAGAGGCCACAACAATGAGAGGCCCACGTACCGCAAAAAAAAAACAAAAGATACATGACAAAAACCAATACAAACCAAAAAACCAATTACAATAGTAACATCAAAGATCTATTCATCAAAGAACTAATCACAGGATCACCATAACAAATACTAATGAAAAAGTTTGAAATATTGTGAAAATTACCAAAACGTGACACAGAGACATGAAGTGAGCAAATGCTGTTGGAAAAATGGTAGCAATAGACTTGCTCGACACAGGGTTACCACAAATCTTCAATTTGTGAAAAACGCAGTATCTGTGAACTGCAACAAAGTGAAGCACAATAAAACGAGATATGCTCGTATTAGAACAGGAACAGCAAACTATTTGTAATAATCAGATAATATTTTAGGCTTTGTAGGCCTTATGGGGTGATTTTCCTAACTACTCAACTCTGTCAGTGTAGCAAGAAATCAGCCATAGACAATACCTAAATGAGTGAGCATGGCTATGTTCCAATAAAATTTTATTTATGGACACCAGAATCTGAATTTCAAATAATTTTCAGTCATGAAATATTTTTCTTCTTCAATTTTTTTCAACCATTAAAAAATGTTAACAACAACCTAGCTTCTGGGTCATACAAAAAAAGGCAGTAGTCCCAATATTTTGCTTCAGGCCATAATTTGCTGGTCCTTGTGTTAGACACTTCATGGCTGGTATTTATACGGACCTTTCAAACTGCACAATTCCAGCAGCCCCTGCAACCCCATGCCTCAACCTCCTTCTCCCTTACACAGGAAATAGCAAGCAAAAAAACTTGGTAATTCAAGGCAAAAAACAGAAAAATAGAGACTACGAATTGCCCAAAAGCAAATAATCTAAACTGATTATTAAAAAATAAGGCAACTCTTACCATTGAAGAACTTTTTTTTTTTTTTTTTTTTTTTTTTTTTTTTTTTT